GGGGGGGGCAACTGGGAGAATTTTCAAATTCTCCCAACCTTCCTTGTATTTAAATAAGGCTATGTAAACAGGGAAAAAGTGCTCTTTTGCTTAAATATATCGCCAGCTACTCTGATTATAGCAATCAGCTTGTGAAGAACAAGCTTGGTATTGTGTCTTATCTGAATCAATAAATCTTTAAGACAGCAGAGTAACTTCACACTCAATTTTGTATGCAATAGCAAGCTTATTAAAAGGAAATCTCAAAGCATCTGCTGTATTTTGCGCCCTTCGCATTGTAGGATGAGGGGCCTTGAGGCCCTTAACTTGTCATAGCTACCTACCCTTCCAACTGCAGATGCCTACTTCAAAACATTTTGAAACCCCTGTGTTGAGGGTTGGAGGTACAAGGTGAAATTTTATGGGCCATTTACTTACCAATATCTAGCATGATCTGTCTGAAGACAGAGATCTGTTTTTGAAGTTTCTTTTTCCACTGTCTTGTCATGATGGCAGTATCAGGGCTATCTATCATCATCATGTTTTCTTTTTTGTTATCAATCAGTGATCCTACAATCCAGATCAAAAAGTACTTGATGAATTTTAAAGTATAATTTTTGAAACTGTCTGCATTTGCAGGGAAAGAAAAAACCCAGGTCTGATTGCCTGAGGAAAGTAAATTTTGCTCTTGGACATGTGAAAAATAATTAATGGAAGTTTGGTGGTCCCTACCAACAATCTGCCCCAGTCTTGAAATACAGTTTGTCCCTCCATATTCACTGACTCCCAGGTCAACAAGGTGTTGGCGAATCTTGGTTAAGCAGGCCTACACAGAAAGAAAATTAATAAATAAACAAACGAACAAATAAACAAATAAAAGTAATATATCACTTCTTTCTTCCATCCAACACTAGCCTAAATCCCCACTACTGGATTTTGTCAGAGTTAATAATCGTGATATTTACCTGATAATCAAATGAGGAGATAACCTTGATAGCCTGACTACCAATCATCTTGTTCCAAACTTCTCCTCTCATGCCATCTGGTATTCCCAGTTTAATGAAGTGCCGCAACTGCATGATTCATACAAAGAACACAAAATTCAAACAAGGTTAAACACAAACTTAGAAGACCTATGTACAGCACATGTATAAAGAGTATTTCACAAGCTTGTAGATTGAAATATTTGCAACATTAATCAACTATTTATGGTGATTAGGCATTTCTGAACACATTTCAACTCACCTGCTTTGGAGAAAAGAGCTGATTTTCTTCCCAATTTTCAAGCATCTTTGCCCAAAATTGTCTTGTTTTGGAACATTCCCCATCGGATTGTTCGCTGAATAGGAGAGATAGAAAGTGGACTTAAAGCTTTTGATAGAAAAAGTTTATTTATTACCATACGAAGAATACATACACTGTTTATCATTCAACATCAAGCCGTTGAGACTTTTCTGACGACCTCACAAATAAGCTTCGCTTATGATTTTATAGCTAGGCTTACTTATTACAATGTACATGTAAACTTGCATGTACGGTACAGCAGATTTACGCAAACTTCTGTTACCGTTGCCACCATTTAAGAATCAATATCACTTTCTTACTTGTATTCATGAGTTCTGCAATCTTCTCCCGCAAGTTCTGATTCTGGATTATACACAGCAAAGCCATAACGATCGTAGAACGATACATCACCAACACGCACGGGATCCATAGTCGCGGTCGCCATTTTTGTTTCAGCGTAGTCTGTTCTCAGGCTCTTTAACGCTTGTCTGTTGCCGATCCTTCTTAATCGTGATTACATATGCTAGATGAAAAGGTGGATTCCTATCTGGTGGCTGCAGGGATTTAAAGTTCGCAATGGTGAGTAATTTACTTCACTGCGATCGTGCTGAAGAGAAGCTAAAGACAAAATCTCATTCGAAAACAACCGCCTTTGTCTTGACTGAAGACTGGGTCGAGTTAAATTAGGTACCAGTCTTTGCCTTAAAGCGGCTTCCGCGTGCATTTAATGCCGCGGGCTTTTCATGCCGATGTCGCGTTGGTCAACTCTTTCCGGACTCTTTATGCGGCTTGACACATGTGATAGGTCAGCCGGAGGCCGAAGTGTCCTGCCGTATGAGCGAGAAGGAAAACCCTTCAGTATTCAGGATATCGCGGTTTTAGAGAGTTTAGCTTTTCAGCGGATTCTCGTAAAACATTGAGCCGCCAAGTCCCATGTCGGAATAATAGGCTGAATCGTCGCTGTCCGTCCGTTTCGTTAATGCGGGGTATTAGCAACTATCACAGCTATTTAACCACTGCAGGAAAACATGACCCGTTACCTAGGGAATTTTGACGTAAACTGCGAGCTAGTCTCCTCCGCAGGAAAAAAAAACGACTTTTCTAACTGACCTGTCTTGCCAACCCGCGAGAAAAAAAGAAACAGAACGCTTAGGTCAAACGTTATTTCCGCCCAGCAAAGATGGATTTAGTAAATTATTTCACCACGTTCTTTCAAGTTTTGATAATCGTCAATCAGTACGTGTGCTTACGTTAACGTTTCATTTTTCCTCAAAAACTGTTTTTGATTGAATCGTAACTCAAATAAATAATGGAAAGAATGAATGTTTGACCCGAGAAATTTCAAACTATGCAGAACTGCAGATTTCGACCATCTTTGTATATTCAGGAGCCCAGCGTCCATCAGCACGCAAGAGAACTTTATTTCTGCGGTTAGGCCTACCGTCCACACTACTGATTCGTCACGGAAACGGAGCTTTTCGTAAACGCTCTTCAAATCAGAGGAATTTGAAAACGCTGGCTTTTTGTTTCCGTGTAATTTGCCTGACCGAGTTTTTCTCAAACAAAAATTCAAAATGAGCGGTGATTGTTGCGTTTTTTAGTTCCTCCGGCGTAGTGTGGACGGAAAACATTTGATGCGTTTTCAGAGTGAAACCTCCGTTTTCGTATTTCATCGGCGTGGTGTGGACGGACCTAATTATTTGTTAGCTCTAGTTGGCTGCGGCCAACCTGATATCCTGACCATCAGTATAAATCGATTCGGGCGTAAATAACAAAAATCCTAGAGACATCGCACGGACTAGAGCGCAGCAAGATGACTGATTTGAAATTTTATGAGTCAAGTCTCAGACCTTCGTCTAAACGGAATCACACTTTCTCGGAATGATAAAAAAAACATACCCCTACCCCCCTGTTACCTTTATTGCCATCAGCGCGCGCTCTGTCTGTGACGTCATAAATTAAATAGACAGACGTAACAAACCTTTCTAAGAGTTTTGTTAGAGAGACCAGTTACTCGATAAGCATTTTTCTTCATTTTTTTTCAAAGTTTACACCGTTTTTCCTTGTTGATCGAGATGCTTTCGCCTTTTAACACAACAAACCAAACCACGTCTCAGGATCCCAAACATATGCCAGGGTAAGATATATTTTACATTATGGTATATCACGCGGGTTTCTGCGTGGAGGCAAGGAAGACAAGTGTTCTTGCATGTCTTCCATCATTGCAAGTGGTTTGTTGAACCAATAAGCCTTAGGAAAGGGCATTAAATGACAGGTGCAATAGAACAGTTTTTAATTCGAGTGTCGATTATTCAGAATTTATTAATTTGGTTTTGCTAAAAAAAAGACAACAACAAAAACTCCAAAAAAGATACAAATGTAAGACCAAACCCAATGGTGAACTGATCACGTGCATTTTCCCGCGCTTATGACTAATAACGTGTAGTTACTTTAAAGAGTTCAATTCTGATTGGCTTATTTTGACAGCTATGTGCTTCCCCTTGTTCGATCAGAGCGTCCATATGTAACATCCTGACGTTTTGTATAATTCGTTGTACTGTAGCACTAGCAATTTCTATAAAACAGGCAATATTTTCTATGCTGAATGACTTGTTACTTCTCAGATATGCAGGCTACTGTCCTCAAGCAAAGTTCTGGCATTACGGCGACACATTCGGTAACACCACGGCGAAATGCTTCCAGGAGAAAAGGACCGCTAAACTGAATAGCAGTGTGATGAGGCAGCCAGGAACAAGTGGTGATGGGAGAACTGAATTCCCAACTGTGTACTCCAACAATCCAAACCTTGTGCTTGCTGCTAGAACGAGAACAAGGGAGCGATGGCGAAATGCTAAGAAATATTCGTTATTCAACGAGCACGAAAGAGGAAGAGAACTAAAAAAATTTGACCAGGTATTACTTAACCGATGCACAACAAAGTTAGAAAAAATAATGTAAAGTCGATTTCCAGTTTGATACACTTGTGATGAGTGGCTATGGATACTTGCACCCGTTTCGGTTCGTCATGTTGGCGACCACAAAAGCTTAAGAACACTACGATTGTAGTTTTAGATAGGTGTATCTCCCATTTTGAAAAAACTGGATCATTAGATACAGGGGCTGATTTAGGAGGAGGGTGCAGGGGTGCGCACCCCCCTCCCCTTTTGACACGAAGCCTTCTTCTTCGTATTCGCTTTTAAAATTTGTTTATCTCACCAGTCAGTTACGCTACTCCTTAGTGGTGCATCCCCTCCTAGGAAAAATTCTGGATCCGCCCCTGGGATAGTACAATTGAAGAGTTTTCTTTGGCTTAGCCATCATGGTATATGAGCCGTTATACCATGCTACAGATATGGTCTGAGCGTACGCGTAACTTTTGGGGGCATTTTTATTTTTATTTTAATTTAGTTTTCTATATTTTGGGAGTGTTTTCAACAAAATAATTATTCCACTCGCGCTTGTTTGGATGTGAGATGATTATAGCCAACAAGTCTGGTGTGTTTTTTTAATCACAAGTCTTTTCCATCTACGCCATGGTGAACACCTTTCCGTTACTATAAGGTGACAGATTGATTGATTGATTGATTGATTGATTGATTGATTATAAAGTGTTCTATACAGTTTATTAACTCGCCTTTACACTTGTATGGGCTGAGAGAGTACAAAGTAACCCAGTACACACGAGTTAGGGCTATTGTTTACACTTCGTTTTGTATATGTATCATTTTAAGCTTGCCCAGAGCCATCGTGATCACTACATGGATAGAAGCGGCACAGTTCAAAGAGTGGAACACTTTGTTATCTCACGAAAAGAAGGGTAAGTTGAGAATCCCAAGAAACAGATAATTATAAACTGCTGAGGCTATAGAGGTGGTGTTAAATCAACATTGGTCCAGAGTTTCAATTCACTGGGTAAACAATATTTCCTGATTTGGCGAATCTTCTATCTGGTAAAACTCTCGAGAGGATTCTTTTGCTTCGATCCAAAAACAGAATATAATCCAAAAAGAGAATGTAACACTAGCCCTCGTGACGGCTCCTAGCGTCCTACGCAAGACGTCCTTTAATATGTGACATAAGGACGTCGGTCCAGTTCTCTCCCTCTCTCTTTGTCACGCAGCGCTACGCTTTTTGGCGAGAGGGTCCCTCCCGAGAGAGAGCGTAGCGCTGCGTGACAGAGAGAGGGCCAGAACTGGACTATAAGGATGTGTGCGTACAGCAGCTAGACGTCTCCCTGAAGTAAGGTATTATATTGTCATGTCATTTAGCAACGTCTGACAAAAATTAGTTGCTCACTATGTACTTTTTCGCCAATCTACGAATTGTAATCTGAGACGCTACGCAGTTTACGTATTAAAAATGTTATTTAATTTCTCTGTTTCATTTCATTTTGCTTTGAAGACCCAAGATTACGGACGACAACTTCTTTTGCAAAGGAGTGAAAATAAGTTGTCCCTTGAGTGGCGAACTTATACAAACTATTAACGGGAAGTGCACAATCCATCTCGGGCTCCCCCTCAAAATGAGCCCCACTTCAATGTGTACCTGGAGGGACCGGGCCTTGAGAGATGTGTACTTTGAGAAGAGATAAGATTAAGGACCTCCAACGCCAATGCGCGTGATAATCTGAATTAAGAGCTGATTCAAACGCAAGTTAAAATCAAATCGTAACGTTCCCGAGAGCTTCTCTCCATTGTATCTGGAGGTCGTTTTTAATTGTATTTTCCTTGCTTAAAAGAGCATTTCAAATGGCACTTAAATTTCGAATTTTTTTCGTAACATTTACCTACTTCGTTTTCTTTCTTTTAACTTCGCCGACGGAGGAAACTCGATGCAGCTCAATTATTTCTTTGTTATCTCGATAACTTTCAAAGATTTGAATCACTGAAACAGACCTGACAAATAAACAACGTTTAAATATATATCTTAGTGTTTAGACTTAAAGTAGCTTACACAATATCTACAGCTGTGGAACTCCCTGCCAAACTTAGTTATTGAAAACTGTCCCAGGTTGTTAATAAACTGGCTGTAGCGTAGTCCCTAGCTTCCTCTTTTTAGCGCTCTCAGATCACGAACGACGATATCCTGGGAACCAGTAAGTCTTCCATCTTGTGATCGATGGTCCATGAGCTAATGCCCGGAACGAGGAGGGCTGGGAGCTAGGCTACGGTATTCAGCATGAGAGAGGCCTGGTGCATTCCACCATTAAAGTGCGATTCATCTTAACCCAACACTGATTAGGCGGGGTTTTCGAGGAAAATGACCATTGATGTTAAAGGCGACTCCGGCAAAACCTGAGTTGGTAGACGCTGACCGGAAGTAGGG